TCTCTGTCTTCTTCTTCTTCTCCGGGGTCCCGGGAGCTGGTCAGGCCCCCCACGCCGATTGGCGTGCCCCTGTTGTTGGTCCTTGTCGGGGGGGGGGGGGGGGGCGGTAAAAAGACACGGGTCTGTCTCTGTCTCTGTCTCTCTCTCTCTCTCTTTCACGCCTGCTCCTCTTTGGCTAAGCCGCTACCTGTCGAGGGGTTCAAGAAGCTGCAGCAATACCAGGCGCCGCATGGCAAGCGCATGCGAGACCCGTGCGCATTAATTATGTCCAATACCTTCTTGTTGTCCATTGTGGTAAACGGCCATCTCTTGTACTCTGCTAGTATAGGCAATCAGTCTAGAAATGAAGTCGGGCCTATAGCCGTTCGCTCGTCGCGAAGAAGAGTGCATGCGACCGACCTTACAATCACACGCGAGGAACAGGAGGTGCGAAAGGGCTCCGGGTGAGGATCAGAAACAAAGCTCTCTTCGTGCTCTTCGGCCTTCTAAACTGATGCCGAACGAGGGACCCCCAAAGTTCCCAATGTGCAGTAGTAGAAGCCCCGTGCGCCCGAGTCGACGTTCACCCGAAGACTAGAATGAGAAGCCTGCAACAGACTTTGCCAATGAGCCTCAATCCGTAGCCCTCCAGATCCCTCCAGGAGCCCTGCGCATGGTGGTTCTCCAGAACAGAATTGTCGTTGTAGCGCAGAGCCAAATCATCTTGCAGCCTTGAGTAAGCTGGGCGAGCAAGCGAGTGGGTGAGCATCGACTGCAGCATGTGCCCGGCCTCAGACACGACACCTCGAGCCCGAAGGCTTAAAGCGTCAGCTACACCAACACTGCAACAACGCCAGGCCACGATGCGATGACCAAGGAAAGGGCACGTTTAGGCAAGACGGCAGAGGGGCTTAGGGTGCTTGCTTCCGAAGGCCATGCAGCTGCACCCACAGAGCAAAAACAGCTTGCGATCCTGCGATGTAGCCTCCTTCACGGCAGCTCTTCCCCCCAAGCCCTGAACATTCTCAAACAGGTGCAGGATTCTGCTTTAGGTTCACGGCTTCGCAACCATAAAGCCACAGGAGCCACCTGCTGGACGGCGCACCCTGCACTTTCGCTAACTTTGACCAAGTAGCCTGATCAAGTAGCTGTTCGTGACGCCTGGCGAGCAGACAGAGCAAATTTCTGCAGCAATTCGGGTGATTCAGCTGTCCTTAATTTGTGGCCTGTTGGTGTGCCCATAAATCCTCCGATCACGCAGCTCGCGATGACTGTGAAGGGGGCTTTGCTTGACGAGCTTTACCGCTCCAGAGCTGAAGCCGGCTATGGGCCCAGTATACTCTAGTCAAATATAAGGAACCCCGAAATTAGCGGTGGAACTGATTTATATCTCCCTTTTGTTGCGATGGGCAGCTTTTGGAGAGCCGGGAAGGCGCGAAGCCACTTAAGCCCGAGATTTGGGCAGGCATATTGTGTCTTTGAGTGACAACTGGCACGAAATTGAGTTTCAGCTGGAGCTGGGAGCCTGAAGTCTGAACCCATCCAGTGACTCTGGCCTGGATGATCGATGTCGTGACACAGCGCCGCCACCAAAAGACCGAAGCCCTTGCAATCAGCACGCTGTTCAGCGCTTCAACTTCAATGGGCAGAAGCAGCATCTTGCAATCTGTCCAACCTGTCCCGTTTACCTGAACATGCGCCTTCCTCCCCCACATACCCTCGCCTGCGTCGCTGTGAGTTGGCTGAATGTGTCGATGGTGCTGAGCTGGTGGAAGCACATCCTTGGCTCCGAGGTTCCTGCTAGAATCCTTACGGAGATGTGGAGTGAAGGCTGCGGGCCCTCTCGAAATCTTGCACCCCGGCAGCTGATACACCGCGAAGCCGTGGTAGGCATTGTGGAAAGGATTCTTTCCTCAGAGAAGCAGTCAAGTGATGCGCCTCTGCCAACAGCAAACTTTCATTCTGTCGTATTCACTGAAGCAGTACGTGCTGATCGCCAACGCTAACTGACCATTTCTAGATGTCACATGTTTGACTGTTCATAGTCACCGTCCAGAGCTTCTGTAGCCCCGGAAAACCGCCCCAGGAAAGGCCATCAGCTGCTTCTCCGGAATGCCGCAGTTGTCGATGCCTTGCGACAGCTTGCTGCATCATGCAAGGTGTGAATGCTAAGCCGGGCTGGTTAACTGCGACAGGACAAGGCTTGATACCTTGAAGAACTAGCTTTCTGATTGTGGTAGAGGATAATCGGTTAAGCATCTGGAATACCCGCTCTGAGATCGAACATCTCTCAATACGCACACAGCTGAGCTTTGTCGTTGCGGCCACATGCAAAGTCGGGCGGCAGCCAGCATGTCTGAGGATATCAGGAACCTGAGACAAGCTTGACATTGGGATCCGCATGTTCAGGATCGGTCAACGATCCGACGATCATCAGCGAGATTGCCAGGTTTCATTTGGCTAGGCTGAACAAAACCACCAAGAGAGCCATGTTCACATCCGAGGCGAGAACCAACTCTTGGAGAAACATCTCTGCCTCACAGCTTCGATCTTGCAATGCTTCTACGTCTGCTTCTGGCACCAGAGCCTGCTCGAGCACGTCAAAGTTGAGGGAAGCCAGATCTTCCACTTGCCTCAGCACTGGCAGTTACAGCCGTGCCATAATCATCACGAGTGCAAGACTTCTAAGCGTGACTGTGGTCACCATCATGACCCACCCCCATTCCCAAATGTCTCGATCATCCGAGGGTCAATGGCGAGTGTTCGCGCAGGAAGGGCTGACGGCTTAAAGACCGCAGGATTTCCGGTGGAGTGCTCCTAGGTGACGGCAGCATGTTACATGAAGCGGGGATTCTTGCGTAAACTCGTCGACTCATTTCTGGTATGCATGGCTTGCATTAGCAAGATCCACGCAGCTACACCTTTGCTGTGATTGAGGCAAGGCTCATGGCCGGAGACTGCTGCCGGCTCAAATACATCCTGGCTGCCGTAAGGACATGCTCCGCATTTAATTAGTTCACATCAAACGGAATTCCATAGTCCGAAGCCTTCAGGGTCTACGAAGGCTCCAGGTCAAGATGCAAAATCATATTGAAATATGCGTGGGCAAGTCCTCCATCAACACCAGAGCATGCAGAGCTTTGCAGTCCTCTCACGGTGCTGGTCCAGAACGGCTTGCACTTCCGAGTCAAAGTGGCCCTGAATTACATCAACAGCTGTGGGAGAGTTTGCCCTGCTGCGGCCTCCTTGTTTGAAGAGACATAAGGTCCTCTGTGATCTTGAACACAAACCTAGAAAGATTGGGCTCCTGCGAGCTTGCCACTGCCAAGCTGCTGTGACTTCCTCGAGAGCTTTGTACCGCTGGCGGTAGAAGGAGTCCCCGATAACCATCCTCGGGGACAAGGCTGACGGCTTCACTGCAGGAATAAAACCTATGTTGTGTACCTGTTTGGCAAACTGCGTGCAGAATTATGTTGATTTGCGGTTATCGTAACGGAGCTGTGGCAAATGCTCCCTTCGCTCTGAAGTCTTCTAATGGCGATAGCAGGTCTCGCTGAAAGCACAAAAAGGAGACAGCTCATGAACCAATCAAGGATGAACGTCTCAGCAATGCAAGTCAGGCTCGCAAGCTTCTGCAGTTCCACTGCGTCTTGTTCTGAGAACCTCAGGCGTGATACCCGCGAGCCGCTGGAGTCTTTGGCGAAGCCAATATTCAACAGCCACACAACAGCAACCGTACAGGCAACCCTGCTTGTACACAGCGAAAGCCAAGCGGCTCTCCCTTGGGCGAGCTGCGCTTGTTCAACACCTGCAAGCCGTTGCACTTCTGCACAATTCTGCGTTATCTTGAAATTCGGAAGCTCGTGGAGAAGCTCTCAGAGGCATGAATCGCTTGGTGCCCTTGTGGATTCAATTTCGACATGCTCAGCTACCAGCCAGATCCAGCCCCTGCTCGCTTCGTCAGAATTCGATCTATGTATTGACACTTCTGTTGGATTGGAGGAATTCAAGGTTGGTCAGCCGGATTAAGGGCGAGACCTGGATGACGCCAATGGCTTTATCCAAATTTAGCACACCTGGCGAGCACTGTCCAGCAGTTGGGATGAGCATGCCCTCACAGCAAACGCCCTGGAAGAATGTCCACTTGGTCATGTTGATGCTGTAGACTGCAACAATCCCGAGTGGAGTCTACAGCGTTGACGTCCTTGCGTATCATTCCCTCTTGTTCAAGCTCTGACACACGCAGCCAAGGAAATCATTGGAACAAAGCATTGCATGTGTCGCAACTGTGTAACTACTTCCTGCCGGCGTATAGGCAAACATGCTCGGACATGCTCGGGAGTCTTCGGCCCAGCTGCTCTTCACTGGCAAAGACAGGATGCCCTTGACCTGAGCGCTCATTTTGGCAAGCCCGGAGCAATCCCATCCATCTCTAGAATCAGGTGCTGAAGTGCGGGATCAACGTCAACAAGGAAACGCTCGGAAGCCGACGGTGTAGCCAGTTTTTTTCTCGATCTCACCATCGAACGCTGGATGGTCATGGGCATCTGATTGGCATGGGCTGACTGGGTGCTGCAGCATGCATGCATGTATGGGTGCATGCATGCATTCTCCTAAAACCAATGTTTGCCAACATGTACATGCAATGCACCAACATGTCTTTCTTCTTCCACCGGGCATGAGGGACTGTTAAGGTCCCTCGGCCACATGGGCCCCCCGCGTGTTATGGGGCTTTGAAGGGACTGTGATATGTCTTGCTCTCTCTCTCTTTCTTTCACCAGGGCTAGGGGTGGGAGGGCAAGCCCCCCTCTCTCTCTCTCTCTCTCTCTCTCTTCCACGGGGCAAGGGAGCGAGTCAAGCCCCCCGGCCACATAGGCCCCCCCAGTGTTTGTTGGGCTCACTCTCTCTGTCTCTGTCTTTTTCTCTCTCGATACACGCACGTTTGCGAGCTTTATTTATGCTTCACATGTGCAGCACAAACTGCGAAACCCTGAACACAAAGCAGGTCGACAGACAATAATGAGCAAGAAGAGGAATAATCAGTGACATACGTAGAAGCACACAAACGCATCTAGGAGCACCTGTATGCACATACATGCGTACATGCTTCTTCTGATTCAGCAGTCGTCGGATGTGTACCATGCACAATGAGCAAGGCTGTGGCGAGATACATACCAATCTACAGCCCGGACAGACAGACAGCCGGACAGACGGACAGACAGACAGACAGAAAGACAGAACGACAGGACGACAGACAGACAGACAGACAGACAGCCAGACAAAACAACTCACATGTATGCCTAAATAGGTTTAAACACCTACGTACGTGCATACATGCATCGATGCAGGCATGCATACGTACGCAAAAACTCTGCATAGCGAGACACCTACATGCGTACATACAGTATGCATACGTACATATGTACATACAGATGTGCATACGTTGCGTACTTGCACCACTGCTAGCATGTACGTCGATCTACATAGACATGTAATCAAAGAACCACTGGCGGCGCAG